AAAATAAAAATAAACACTGAAAAAACAAAAATAAACAAAACAAAGAAAAAAAAAAAAAAACCTGGTACACTAGTGTTACATTTGTTAAAAAAAGGTATTGCTCTTATACTTATACTTATACTAAACATCTTGCACTTGTAACCTTTCTAGTGTGTTTGGAAAATGTGGTGTATACAATGCTGGACATTGAAGATACATTTAAACATTAAACTAGTAACCCTTGATATTCTGATATTCTAAGAGTTCTGAGACACCGTTGAGACTAAAATGAGAAATACATGAGAATCACAACTAAGTCTCCCGAGGTTAGAAAGAGCAACCACTGAGCAATAAAATATTCCTATAATGGAGTCTTGATAGAGATTGCAGCAAGACAATAAAGAGATATTCTATGTTTCTTCCACCACATTCTCTGTTTTGACTCTTTTTTTTCTCAAATATTTCTCATGTCTCATTTGTGTCTACTTCCATTTCTCCTAAGGAATTTTAGGAGAAACATCTGAAATGCTGTTGATACTAAAATGAGAGATTTATGAGAATCTCATCTAAGTCTCCTGAGTTTAGGAATAGCAACCACTGAGCAATAAATTTTTCCTATGGGTAAGTCTGAAAATACACTTTTGGAATATAGAAAAAGCAAATAAATATTACTCATTCAGACAGATTTCAAGAAAAGTTGCTTACCACATTCAACCGATTCATCCGAGCCATCTCCGCAGTCGTCATCATGGTCACAAACAAAGCGTTTTGGAATGCAGCCTTTGTTAAGGCATCTGAAGGAATTCTCATCACATGTGTTATTTGGAGCTGCAGGGTAAACATCAGGACCTTGATCTTAATTAATTCTCACTAAGACTTTTTTCACCTTGGGGTACTAGTCATATCTGCCAAATCCATCTCTACCACAGCCTGCAGTCTAACATGTTACAAAACGCATCATTAATGAAGTGCCTGTGGTTAAGAATATCTTATTCTTTGGATGTCATTGAGTTTTTAAAGCCTGACCTGAGCACGTATCAAATAGGCAATTATAATGAATGGCCGATATCGCTGCTAGAACAACACCTGAAGGGAGCTTTCATCGATAACACATCGACATGCAGAAGACATTTTAAACAGATCAATGGGAATATTTACCACAGCCGGCCGCTGCGAGCTCATCGCTGCCATCGGGACAGTCTCTCTCCCCGTCACACAACCAGCGCTTGGGGACGCATGCGTACGAGCCTGGACAACTGAATAACCCTGGGGCGCAGGTCACCGAGCCTGGATAATATTTTGTTAGTAATGCACCATTAAATGTTGCTCAGGTCTATTGATTATAAATCACAGCCTACTTGAATATCTAGAGGAATCACACAGTCAATTGTGAAAGCTTTTTAACAAATGCACAGCATACACTTGGATGTTCTGTGCTGCTTATCAAGTTCTGAAAAGCGTTTATTGTGTTTAATTGCGTTATTAGGAACACAGCAATATTATTTATATCTTACTGACATTTCATTACAATCCAAATTAAACGTTTGTTTACTACAAATATTTACTAATATAATAAACCATGATTGCATTTTCATAATTGCCCAATTTATAATAGTTGCATTGTATTTAGCCCATGTATAAACTCAACTCATTCAAAACGCTGCCTTTGAGGCACGGAAAAACAATAGTTACAGTCGCAAATAATGGAAGGAGAGGTCACATGCGTACCGCAGAGATCCACGCTCTCGTCCACCCTGTCTCCACAGTCGTCTTCACCATCACAGAGCCACTGCTTTGCTATGCACTTGTTTTTCGAACAAGCAAACTGGTTCCACAGACAGGAGGAGTCTATCAACAAAGGAGTTTGAGAGCCACAAATAACAGTGCATCCACAATTTAGAACTTATCTCTAGCCGAATGCTTTTAGAGATTTATTTCTAAATTCAGCAGACTTGGCTGTAGACCTCTGGATTACACTTATATTACTTGTGCTCTCTAAAAACAGCAGCAACAAAACACTCTAAAACCTCTCGCCATAAATACGTCAGTCTTTGTTAGAGCGTTTTTTTACACAAAGATGCAATCAAGCAGAATAATTGTGTTTTCTGCATTTTTGTTGTGTAATCACACTTGTATCCTGTCATTCATCTCAAATATATAGAACTAGCAGACACATCTATCTCTGTTCTTTGATTTGAGCAACAGCTTTACCCTATAAAAATGATTTTTTATTGCTTTCATTCAGCTCTGATATGTCTACATGCTAGTGCACTCTTAAAAGTTGACAAAATAATATTTCAGCTCGTATATGGATTTAAAATGTACAGAATTGATGTTGTGGCAAAAGGGACAAATAAATTGGCGTAATCTATTTTAAAAATCTATTTCAAATAAATACTGGCCTTTGAAATGTTCTATTCATCAAAGAATTCTGAAAAAAGTCAATTGTATCACCATTTCCACAATATATTAAGAAGCACAACTATTTTCACCTGTTTTCGGTAAAGAAATGTTTCTTGAAAACCAGATCAGCATTAGGATGATTTCTGAAGGATAATGTGACACTGAAAACTGGAGTAAAAGCTGCTGAAAATTCAGCTTTGCCATCACAGGAAATTTTTTTATTTTAAAATATATTAACATAGTGTACAGTCACTTTAAATTGTAATAATATTTTACAATATTACTGCCTACACTGTATTTTTGATCATATAAATGCAGCCTTGGTGAGCATAATAGACTACTTTCAAAAAAATCATCAACTTACAAAAACTTAACAACCTTAAACTTTTGAATAGTACTGTACCTCAACAGACATGCCTAAAAGACGATTTTTTAAATCAAATTCTTTTATGATCAAGAAATCTCACAGATCTGATGGAATATAATTATACGTCAACATAATTATACACTAAAACATGCCCATGCATGTGCAAATTGCGATAGCAGGGCAGTTCATATCTAAGCCAAGTTTTTTTCCCTTTCAGTTCTATTCTAGACAGACTCTGCCTGCCAGAAGAGTTAGAGTGGTCCACTCCTGGGGTTAGAGCATGGAGAATGAAATTAAGGGACGCAGCAGGAAAGATTGGTCTCAAATTCCCATGATTCTCCTCGACTGCCTGATGCTCTCTTGCTATATATGCAGATATCCTATCTCCATTCACAGTGCTGATGGTGAGCAAAGACGTCGTGTCATCTTAAGGAGAAAAACACCCTTTCAATTCTAAAAAAGGAGCATGTCCACATTAGATGTGGAGCATAGGTTGTTTTTAAAAAAAAGTAATTAATTTACTAATTCATGCATTTATTCAAAAATAAATAAATAAATGCATACATACATAATCAATAAATAACTAAAACTAATTTATAAATGTATAATATATAATCTATCTGAATTTCATACAACCGTTTGGTGAACTGAAAATGCTTTGAGGGATCCTGTTATATACTGTACATACACATAAGCCTCCAAGGGCACAGGTATACATGGGGATTGGTTTTTATCACCTGAAAATGCTTCTCTTGACCTCAGTATTAGCAGCTGAATTGGTTTCTGCATTCAAAGCTCATCTCAAGAGGTGGGCCGTAATCTCTCGCTCCACATGAGAAATCAAGCTGAGTGAAAGCAATGGGAGGCTAATACCAGTCATGCTTACCACACTGGAACTCATCTGCACCATCTTCACAATCCTTCTGCCCATCACAAAGCCACACGCTGGAGATGCAGTTCCCGCTGGGGCAGGCGAAGTGGCCTTCTGCACATTTCTGCCCGTGGGAGACTGCGGCAGTCAGAGAAAATACGTGTTTGATTATGGAGAGCGTAAATAAGTCCACGATTTGCTTAGTGTAGTGAGAATTTGGTCCGGCGGTTGTTTGGGTCATTATTCCCTCCTAAAATCGCTCCCAGGCAGATTAAATCTTTATGTGATGCAATTCTCTATGGGACTATAAGGGTGTAAAAGTGCACTTGCCTCATTAAAAGTACATCTCCATTCAGACAGGTCTTCTCCGATAAATTCCACATTTGCTTTCTATTTGAAACCACTGACACGCTAATGAGTAATAAGCTGAAACCTGCCAAGACTAATTTTCAGGCCACCTTTTCATCAGCGGTTTTGAAGGGACCGCAGTTTGCAGGAGTGTTTAAATGTCTGCTCTTCGCAAGTCTGACAATCACCAATAATTATTCATCAGCCTTCCGCACCTTTTGAGGCTCTTCAAGCATGGAGAAAAAGACAGGGGCTTGTCTCTGCTTCATTACCTCTTCGTGGGAGACTGCGGCAGTCAGAGAAAACACGTGTTTGATTATGGAGAGCGTAAATAAGTCCAAGATTTGCTTAGTGTTAGCGAATTTGGTCCAGTGGTTGGTTTGGGTCATTATTCCCTCCTAAAATCGCTCCCAGGCAGATGAAATCTTTATGTGATGCAATTCTCTATGGGACTATAAGGGTGTAAAAGTGCACTTGCCTCATTAAAAGTACATCTCCATTCAGACAGGTCTTCTCCGATAAATTCCACATTTGCTTTCTATTTGAAACCACTGACACGCTAATGAGTAATAAGCTGAAACCTGCCAAGACTAATTTTCAGGCCACCTTTTCATCAGCGGTTTTGAAGGGACCGCAGTTTGCAGGAGTGTTTAAATGTCTGCTCTTCGCAAGTCTGACAATCACCAATAATTATTCATCAGCCTTCCGCACCTTTTGAGGCTCTTCAAGCATGGAGAAAAAGACAGGGGCTTGTCTCTGCTTCATTACCTCTTTCATAAATAGTGTTTCGACAAAATTAATTTGATTTTAATGGAACCTGGCTTCCTCAAGCTGCAAAGCTAACAAACGGAGAGTTATAGTGAGCGTTACCCTGACAGTTCCTCTCGTCGGCGTAATCTCCGCAGTCATTGGCTCCATCGCACAGCCACGAATGGTGAACACACAGTGAGGTGCTGTTACAACTGACAAAGACCTTTTCTGCAACTCCCATCCTGTAAAAGTCTGCACAATCTGTGTGATCTGAAAAAAAGGGGGAAGACTTTGTGATCTAGGTCACAAGAGATGACAAAACAGATGACGCAAGTGATTCCAAGCTGTATGATCATTCATGCAGACACACACAATCCATAATCAAAATGAAAACAATAGTTCACCCAAATATGACTTCTGTCCATACGACTCTCAAAAGATGATTTTCTTAATAATATTCAAGCTACTCTTTGCAATGTAATGAAAGTGAATAGAGCGGAGTCTTCAAAATTACAAAAAAAGCACCATTACAGTAATAAAGTATCATTAAAATACAACTACACTATTCAGAAAGGGTTACATTAAATAGATCAAAAGTAATAGTAAACACATTTATAATGTTACAAAAGATTTCTATTTCAAATAAATTATGTACTTTTGAACTTTTTTTATTCATCAAAGAATCCCGAAAAAGAAGTATCACAGTTTCCACAACAATATTAGGTAGCACATGTGTTTTCAACATTGATAATAATAAAAATAATAATAAGAAGTGTTTCTTGAGCACCAAATCAATATATAAGGATGATTTCTGAAGAACCATGTGATACTACAAGACTGTAGTAATAGCTGCTGAAAATTTGGCTTTGCATAAATAAATTGTAATGACACTTCATAATATTATAAAGTTTTTTTTGGACCAAATAAATGTAGACTTAGTAAACATAAAAGGTTTCTTTTAAAAAATCATACTGATCCCAAACTTTTGAAGGGCAATATATAAGTCGGCTGAAGCCATATGATAGCTTTTTGTGAAAAAAAGACTGAAATTTGTTTGGTCAAAAATATTGTTCTCCTCCAAAGCCCCAAAATGGACTTCAGAAGTCATGCAGTCTACAAAAACATCAATACCAAATGACATTGGCTCTGTCATTGATGTCAATGCTGCCATTTGATTTGAAAGTTCCAGCAGTTTTGACTAATTAATTTAGACTAAAAATTCACTACACGTGACTAAAATAATGACTACAATATCATATGACATCAAAAGACTTGGAATATAGTCCCTCTGTCCCTCAGACTTGCTTTTAAAATACTTTTAAGGTGCTTTTTGTCATTTTGCCCCCTTTCATTATATGGGAAAGAGTGGACAGGATATGCTTTAAAAATGTGCATTTTTTGTTCCATTGAGGAAAGACAGTCAAAGATTTGGAAGGACATTTTTTTTTCATCTCTAGGTGAACTGTCCCTTTAATGACAGTTTATTGATTTATCCTCAGTTCTATCTAGGAATGCATTACATTTGTAGTCTATAATAGTCTGATACATCAAGGCAGTGATTATTACAGTAGGATAAAGAGAACGTGTGCTGCTTTGCAACATGGCCTTACTGCAGTTCTTTTCATCCGAGGCATCGGCGCAGTCGATGACCTGGTTGCACCAGGAGGATATTGGTATGCAAGTTCCATCTTGACAGGATGACTCAGATGCAGCACACGTGACATCTGGAACAGAGACACTTCATTTACACTGAGAGCGGAGAGACTAAAGCTCCTGGATGTGCGCTTAAATGAATTAAATATTGTGCGGCAATATTTGTATGATATGCACCGCAATTCACTGATGATAACAGGGTCTTCCAGACAGGACAGCTCCAAAGAAAATGACTTGTGAATTGCTTTCACAGCTTGAAAATTGGGTGTCATTTTTGAGGTCTAACATGGTCCGAAATAAACCTACTAGCGGCACAATATATTTTTTTGCTACCTATTTTCTTTTATAGACTGCAAAAAAATAACTTCCTTAAGTGAAATTTATATGCAAAATGTAAAAATAATAATATTCGCAGACAAGATACCCACTGTTACAAAATGCCTCATCTGAGTTGTCTCCACAGTCGTCCATTCCATCACAAAAGCGATTGTTAGCCACACAACGCCTGTTGTAGCAAGGACGGTGACCCTTTCGGCAGCTCCTGTTGTCTAGCGATACGGAAAGCAACGGCACAGCAAATCTTTCACATCAGGGCAAAAAAAGCTTCATATCCTCTCTCTTATTTACTCTATCTGTTGCTCTGGGCTTATTCCCATTTGCTCCTCTGGTTGAAAGCAGTAAGGAGAAGCGGCTCATTTTATTAGGTTGAAGCCTCAGGGAATGGAACTGCCACCTTAAACCAATTCTGCGTGCTTACTGCTTTCATGATGCAGGAGCAGGGACTACATACGGCGAAGCATTGTGATCGGCTACTTACCACAATATTGCATTTTCTCATCTGACTTGTCTTTGCAGTGGGCAATTCCATCACATGTTAGCTGGTAGTCTATACATTCCCCATTTCCACACTCAAACTCAGTGTGGATGTTGCAAGAGGACGTTTTTGCTATAAAAGAACACAAAATGATGTTAAAAGAATCTAGCAAACAAAACATGTTAATCATATAAAAGATGTATTCAACTGCATTTTTAATTGATTTTTAATTAACTTCTGAATAAAATAAAAAAATAAGACAACAATTAGAATCATGTCTTTGATCCAATAGCACACCCTTTCTCAAGAAGCTACACTTTTTGAAGTACCATTCATGTCCATAGCAAAAATAGTACAGAAAGAGTTTAAATCTCAAACTTCTGAGCAACAGCCATAGCGATGACTAGTTAAATACAAAACAAATGCTGGAATAAATGAAGCAAAGTAATTTCACATCTTTCTGAGATGGAGGGACTCATATTCCCTGAGAGTCTGAGGGAAGCATGGTGAAACTTACACACACATCTGTTGTCATCGAGCAGTATCCGCTCTCCTCGGCAGCTGCAGTTGACTGTGCCATCTGGAGTAAGGAGACAGAGGTCACCACAGCCACCATTCAGAACCCTGCATGGAGATAGCTCGCCTGAAACACAGGGACAAGGAAACATCACGTACCTTCACAACAGTGCTCTGAGTATATATAAAAAAGCCTAAATAACAATATTAAGCAACAAACAAACATGAACACAGAGAAAAGTCATTCCAAAGACTTTGAAGTGAGCAATCCACAAAACTTTGAGCTAAAACGGGTTTGCTTTCTTAAAAAGAGCTGACTACACTGACAAATGCAGTACATCAGAGGCTTATTCACTGAATACCCTGGAGTCCCTACAAAGTGCAGTTCCTAAGCAAAACAAAAAAAAGTTGTTAAAAATTTAAAACATAAGTGTAATCTCATTTAAACGGAAGAAGAGAACTATACTGTTCTGCTCTACGTATTTCTAGGTCACTATAATCAAATATGCAAATTTGTGATACTAAACATGCGACTCTTTAGTACCAATGTTAGTTTAGTCTTATTGAGATACTATTATAGTTTTTTATTACATTTTTGAATCAGTTTTCATTTTTATATTTTCCGCTTTCTTCTTCATTTTAGTTTTTAATTGTAATTTTAGTAATTTTGTGTTGTATACTGTTAAAAAATAAAGATAGAACGATATATATATATATATATATATATATATATATATATAGATAGATAGATAGATAGATAGATAGAAAATTCTGTCATATTAATGCAGAACATTGTGTGCTATTTATTTTAGAGTGTATATAGTTTTTATTAATTTTTATTTCAGTTTTAGTTTTTGTTATTTTAGTACAAGTTAAACTAACTTAAAATGAAAAATGTTGCCTTGGCAACTAGCCGAAAAGTTTTGAAATCTGAAAAAGATTTTATACTTTATTTCATTTCAGTTAAAGCTATTATTTTTATTTTAAATAAAAATTTTTATGGTGTACATTTTAAGTTTCAGTTCTAGTTAACTATAATAACCCTGCTTTATACAGACGTCAGATGTTCTCACATCCATTAAAGCACAAGATGTTCTTAGGACAGATCTCAAATCATGCTGGAGAACAGGTTTTTGGTTTATGCTGCCTGACTGCTGTCATTAAAGATACCAAGACATTCTGCAAGTTTTGCTCTAATTATTATGCAGGTAATGTATATTTATAATTAAAAACAAAATAGAAATAGAAAGAATTGTCCATTTAATCAGACTGGTCAAAGAACTTTTAAATGAACATCCAGACTGTCAGGAAACGTTATGAATCCAGAACATTGTGCCTCTGGGAGCTGTATGAAGCGCCCATACCTATGAAGAGCCTCCAGCATCTCTAATTCATTGTACTGTGACTCAACATGAATATGGAAACGAGTCTCAAAAATCAAAGGTGGTGTGTTAAAGGGGTCATATGATGTTGCTAAAAAGAACATTATTTTGTGTATTTGGTGTAATGAAATGTGTTTATGTGGTTTAAGGTTAAAAAACACATTATTTTCCACATACTGTACATTATTGTTTCTCCTCTATGCCCCACCTTTCTGAAACGCATCGATTTTTACAAAGCTCATCGGTCTGAAAAGCGAGGTGTACGCTGATTGGCCAGCTATCCAGTGCGTTGTGCTATTTAAGTATAAATACCTCAAGCGTGTGACGGAAATGTTACTCTCTTATCATATTGTGATGCCCTGTCCGGCGACGAAAACAAAAACATTAAAACCCATTATAAACGAGGCATTTGTTGCATCCAGTGGGGACATAATTAC